CTGGGTAGAAGCCGGTCACCAAGCAGTCCAGCAGGTTGTGCTGCTGGAGGATCAGGGTCCTCTCTGGGTACACTGTCACCTCTGGTTGCACTGGATGAGAAAGAAAATGCGACCTTGTGAAGGAAAGCCACCAATCAGGGTAGATCGTCTTTAGGGACTGTCATTCCCTAATCCATTTCCCAGAAGAGCCAAGTGGAAACCAGAAGGGTAGATATCTAAGCACCACAGACTGAGAAACAGATGTAAGGATGACCCCAGGAGGGCTTACACTGTATGGTCTGAGTCCCCACGATCACCCATTCTACTTGAGAGTACACCAGTCCTCAGAGTTCCCAAGAACCTTGGGGTGCTAAGACCAAGACCATGGTGTCCTGGCTTGTGAGGCGTGAGTCACAGCTGAGGACAGAACATATTCACTGGCTCCCCATTCATCCTGAAGCATAAATTGCCTAACATAAGCAGGCAGGCAACATGGCTCAGTGGGTAGAGGCACCACTGCCAACCCTGAAGACCTGAGTTCAACCCCCAGGACCCGCATGGTGGAAGGGAAAACCTGGGTGGTTCAAATTGTTCTCTGGCCTTCACACACACAGGCAATAATAATAATAATGATAATAATAATAATAATACCAAAAATAAATATAATTCAAAGCATTTTTAAGTGCCTTTCATCAAAAAGGTTCCTGTGGCGAAGATTCTTGACCCCACCTCTACTCACCGTTTCTCCCCACCATGAAGGGGGCCCCAAGCCTGTAGTTACGTCTGCAGACCATGTTGACAGATGCCCTGCTTCTCTCCAGGAGATCGAGGCGTTTGTTCCACTGCTGGGCATCAGGCTCCCCCAGCTCTGTCAACGCCACAAACATCCCCACATCACTGTCAAAATGTAAATACTCCACCAAGTTGAAGATGAACCTGACCACAAAGCGTACCTTCTCTGTCCCATTGGTGAAGTAACAGTCAGCCTTTGCCTGAATGACAAAATCCTCTGGGAAACCAGAAAAAAAGATCAGGAATCAGCTTCACCTCTAGAAAATCCCACACCTGGTACATGAAGTTGGACGATGTGGATTTGAGAAGAGGACTTTTGACTTAGATGTTTAAAAGCATAATGTAGTGATGGTGGTGGTGGTGATGGTGTTTTGGTCCTTTTGAGACAGGGTCTCCTGTAGCCCCAGCTGGCCTTTTAACTCACTAGGCAGACCAGGCTGACCTTGAACTCACAGAGATCCGCCTGCCTCTGCTGGCCTGCCTCTGGGATTAAAGGCGTGTGCCACCTGCCCCACCTAAACACGTTTTTTTTTGTCTTTATTTACTGATATGTAATTGTCAGTGTTCATAGTGCCAGATCGAAAAAACAGTAAAAGACAAATACCCTTTAATACAAAAGCAGCAGCATCTTTTTAGAAACCAGCTTAACTACCCTGGTGTGTCAGAACTACTTTAATTAACAGAGAATACGGGCTACCTCATGTATTCAAAATGATCAAAGCAGCTAGTGCTTACTTGACAGATAATGGAAACTGGTAGTCCAACAGAGGATACACTCAGGCAGCACAGCCACTGAGGGTCACATGTACTCAGCACTCCTGTTCTTAACAGGACTTAGGGCTCATGGCAGTTCTTGACGATATGTTTTAGAGATGTTGCCTTTATTCTTACAGCTAAAAATGGTTAAATACACCTATTTTCCCACTGTGATGGTGCATGCCCTAAATCCCAGTACTCAGGAGGCAGAGGCAGGTAGATCTCTGTGAGTTTGAGGGGTCAGCCTGGTCTCTACAGTGAATTCCAGGTCAGCCCAGGGCTGCATAGTGCGATCCTGCCTC